CGCCTCATATTCAGCGTCGACGAATAGGGGAATCCCCAGTCATAATGTATTGCAAGCGTGGCGGTCTTACTTCAAATCCATAAACAAAGAGATAATTACAGAACTCGATACTAGATGGCGCTGTTTTTGTTTGAAGAAAGTTTGCGGGCTAAAATACATAGAATTTCATCAATGACTTCCACAAAGAACAACATTTCTGTTTTTTCTAAGTCCGTATCTCTTCCGTATATTTCATAAGATATAAGCTTGGGCTACATTGTTATGCAACGTGATTTTGTCGCTGTCTTGCTAGCAGGGTTGACAGATATACGATTTAAATCGTACTCATACTATTATTTGTCTATTTTTTAATGTACGATCGTAAAGATTATGATCGTAATTCGCACAAAAACATACGACTTTTTGGTTACCTGGCAACATTTTTATTATGAAACGAACATGCTCACATCATCAGTCACATGCAACAATTTATTGGGGATTTCCCCTTCACATCTGGCAGTCCTGCTTGCTAGAATATAGGTAAGTCAGCCACAGTTACTGACGATCGATATTTAAAGGGTATTGTTTTTGTGCTAAATATTTCATAAAAACGTTATTTAATACTTTGTGGATTATTAATTTAGTTGATAATCACTGGAAGTAAAATGGATGCTAATTTGAGAGATCAAGATCTTCGTATAAAACAGTTAATAAAGAAAATCTACGTAAGTACTCTTTTTATACCTAGGTAGGTAAGGTATAATAAACACAAAAGGTACTTAGATCGCGTGTGTTCGAAGCATTTATTCTAATAAATTTAATTTAAAATTGTAGAAAGAAAAAAATGTCTGCCAAGCCGTAGCCGAAGCCGATCTCCAAATATATTTGGCGATAGTGAGACCCAGTGTCCAGATGATTTACCCAGCGTCGTCGCAACAAAGAAAAAAACGAGGATAAAGTAAAAGAAAATTTACTGAAAGAAGAAACAAACTGTTCTAAATGCTTAATTTATGGAGAAGAGGATAAAAGAAATGAGTATTTCGGACTGTTAGTGGCTCAAGAATTTAAATATATACGGCCATGTGTGCGAACGAGGTGTTATGAAGAAATTTTAAAGTATCTACGGGAAGCAAAAAGGCCAACATGTTGATCAACTGCAACATGAAAACACTGAAAATTAATTACTTTCATTTTATTATATATAGATTTTTAAAATTTCCTGAAATATTATTAGTTAACGTTTTATTTAATATTGTAGAATTGATCAATACAATTTATAAAAATAATTTATTGGTATTACTTACATATTTTCAAAAAAATACGTAAAAACCTATTTTTTTGGGTGATTATGGGAGTTTATGGGTGTTTATTGGGTTTTTACCAAAGCACCGGGTTTAAACCCGGTGCTTTGCCCATCTGTACATAGCTGTGTTTCGGTTTGAAGGGTGGGAAATGGTAGTGAATTTACAGGGTACAGAGGAATAATACTTGAGTTCTCAGGAATGGTAACGCATGAGGGGTATCATGGGCGAAACAGTATTCTATAAATGTTTTCAATCAACATTGTATTTACTGAAACTTATTTGTGTCCATTAATATTTTCATCATCAGCCATTATCCGTCCACTGCTGGACATAAGTCTGCCCCATAGACTGTCATAAAGAACGGTCCTGAGCCACCTGCATCCACCGACTCCCTGAAATGCATTTCAGGTCATCACTCCATTTAGTGGGTGGTCATCCTATACTACGTCTGCCCATACTAATTATTGTATTGTATTGTAAAAATCTTTATTGTACATAAGTCAAATTAAATACTAGTAAATGATTTAGTATACAATGGCGGCAATATAATATAAATATATTATTTTATTAAACAATTATTATATTTTTCTAATTGTTATTTCAAAAACATAATAGATTTTTTAATAGTTAAAAATGTAATGGTAACCCCGCCTTCGCTATTGGTATACACTGGCGGGACACTAGTAAGCGATGGTAGGTGAGGATGAAAGCAGATTAGTTTTTTATTTTTTTATGTCATTGAGGTGGCAAACAAGCATACGACCCACCTGATGGTAAGTGGTTACCGTAGCCTATGAACACCTGCAATACCAGAGGTATTACGCGTGCGCTGCCGACCCTGAAGAAACCTCTTTACCCCCATTTTGATGAACCCCATGCTGTAGTCTCTTGGAAAAACCTATAGTGATGAATTTGACAACCATTTTAGGTTTCCAGAGAAGCCGCGTGGAGATCGACTTGACAGGGTAAATTTATAGCAATGGGACTCCATTCTAAAAATCTCTTTTCCCTTAAAAATAATAGACACAAATAATAGATAACATAATAGTGGGAGTAGTATACCAAGATTTTCATTAAAGTTACGTAATATTTTCGCCAGCCAACTACAGCTGGCCGTCTACGTACGGTCTGTAAATTTGCAACATATTAACGTAAACATATATCTTCGTTCTCGTTGCTTTTGAGACTACATACTTTCATAAAGGAGTTGAGTCAACGCATTGTGGACAGAAGCCATGACCGTCGTTACGGTTCGTATCCAGCTCAAAGGATGTCTCTAGCAATCCAACGTGGAAATGCTGCAAGAACGTCAATATTGTTTTGACTAATTGTTAATTTAATTTATTTTTTGTTTAAGTTGGTTTGATATATATATATATATATATATATATAGTGTTGTATTAATTTTCAATTGAATATAACTTTAATGTATGCAAATGTATAAATAAATAAATGTTATAGAATAAAAATAAAAATAACGTAAATGTTCCAATAAACCTATTTTATTTATTGAGAGGTTATTGAGCGTTGAATTTATTTGAGGTTTTAGTTAAACAGCTCCTTAAAACTGCAGTAAGATTTTTTACGAATAAGGGTGTTAGTATTTTAGAATAGCAAAGTGTTCATACAAGAACAATGGAAATGTATTAAAGACGTATTGATAATAGCTGGAAATATTTCGATATACTCGTATAGACTTTGACGTAATTTTAAAATCACTGTTCGATATTAGTTTTTATCTTGTCCTTCATTGTTCTGATATAAAAGTATATAATTCTCTCTGAATATTATATTAATACATTTTTTCTTTCTAATGATCGCTTTATATATTCGACAATTTACGACAAGATGCCATGGGTATTCTATGATGTCCATGATGCCGTCAGTTTCTAGTAAGTTGTTTTTAATTCTATGTCCCATAAAAATCTACAATTGGCTGTCATTAAAAAAAATCAGATGTAGCAATTTATCGTCCAATTTGGACTCGTGGTCGCCCAGTGGTCGAATTTCGACTATGATATATGAATGAATTATTATGCTTATGTTTGGCATTCAGTAAGACTAGACAAACAATATGAAATACAAACAATATTAATCTATTCTCAATTTGACCACTGACTTGTGTGAATGTGAATGTGAGAAAGACTCTGTTTTCCACGCTTAGCCTCTCATTTGGGCCGTTGTGCGTATGAGTCGTGGCTAGTACAGCCAACCTAGCTCCGCCCAGAAGCGCAGAAGCTTCCTGGTTTCTTCACAGGCCTCACGGAGCGACCTCACCGTTCCGAAGATTTCTAAACGTTGATGGGCCACAGCCTCACATTCCAGGATTACGTGAGCAGCCGTTTCTTCAGCGTCGAAACAGCGTCGACATAGAGGGCTGTCTGTTGACCACTGACTTTAACAATAAACAAAAGAATATACATATATACGTGAGTGTGTGTCAATTATATGGTAGTGTGAGTTAAGATAGTTAAGTGCGTATATCACCATCACATAAGCTGTTATCTGTCCACTGCTGGACATAGGTCGCCCCCATAGACTGCCATAAGGAACGGCCTCTGGTAGTTACAAAGATAGCATATTAGAAATATTTACAAGAGTAGAAATTTAGGAGATATAGCGAATTCTATCAATTATTCAACTAGCCTTCACCCGCGATTTCGTCTGCGCTACCGGGATATATTTACTAAGAGAGATAAAAAGCCTATAATCACCTACATCTTATATATTATATATCAAATTTTATAGTGATTGTTTAAGCTATTAAAGAGGACAAGACTGAATATCTTTGATATCTTCAATTCCGATGTTCGCCGAGCACCCTTCCGGTGCATCAAAGTCATTTCAAAGTCACCAGAGGGAGACTTTGTACAAAAGTCAATTGCTTGGGTACCTCTATCCCATTCGTGTTTCAACCGTGAAGCAGTTGTGTTTGCATGGCTGTGTTTCGGTTTGAAGGGTGGGATATGGCGTGAGTTTACAGGGTACAGAGGAATAACACCTGAGTCCTCAGGAATTGCAACGCATGGGGGGTATCATTGGCGAAACAGTATACTCTGTTATGTCCATGGTACTGCTCATGTCTATAGGTGACGATGACCACTTTCCATCAGGTGGGCCGTCAGCTTGTTTGCCATTCTAAGTTGTATAAAAATAAAAAAAACTTCGGAGAGGTGGAGGTCGACGTATAGCGAATCGCGTCAACTCCATCTACCGATTCATCTATCCATCGGTCTGTTAATTCATCGGTCCATCAAACCACCGATTGATCCGTCGATCCGTCGTCCTGTCATCTGCTTGCCCGTCCAGACGCGTAAAAATGTTTGATACGGGACATTTTTGGGACTGGACCTACCAAAAATTCTTTTGCTTTTTCCACCCAAGGTAACTTAAAATGTTTCATCTGTACTGAAATCACGTTCTATATTTTTGTCTTTTTACTGCACGTACATATTGAGTGAATGTATCGATTTTTCTAATTAATAGGAACTAACTCACAAGATTGTTGGAAGCAATTTGCAAGAAATGAAAATTACGGAGTCCTTACCGTTACCCTTTGATCACCATAATAAGCACCAAATTGAAGACATTCAATGCATTAGTAAGACCATATTATGTTTTTAACATTACAATCCTTGCAATACCGCGGTGCAAGCCGAGTGAGCTAAACCTATATTTTGTTCTATGGTATATCTGTACTAAAACCACATCCTATAAAACGAACCAAAAATGTTTGATACGTTCAGTAACACTTTTAATTATTGTACATATGGAATGATTTTTGCATTTATCTATCCAAACAAAAAGAATTTAATGAAACGATTATTATTTTTAAACGGTTTTATTTAGCTTGACCTGTACGGTATTTATTTATTTGGGTCAAAATTAGAAATTAGAATTTAAGCACCTTCCCGTTGTCAGATTGATCTGAAATTTGGTACACACATTTAATTTAGATGACAATACAATATAATAAAATCAATAACATTATAAATCTAAGATGGCCGCCGATACAAAATGGCGGATTACATATTTTTCCTTAACCCCCGCAATATGGGTATCAAATGAAAGGGCTACACTAGTAAAACACGATGATTATGTCAAAATTTTAAATTCAAGATGGACGCCGTTCCAATATGGCGGACTAGGTACATATTTTTCCACAACCACCACAATATGGGTATCAAATAATAGGACTACACTGAGACACCCAGACACTAGACACTCGGACACTAGACACTCAGACGCTAGACCCTCAGACACTAGACACTCAGACACTCAGACCCTAGACACACAGACACTAGACACTCGGATACAAGACACTCAGACACTAGACACTCGGACACTAGACACTCAGACACTAGACACTCGACACTCGACACTCGACACTCGACACTCGACACTCGACACTCGACACTCGACACTCGACACTCGACACTCAGACACTAAACACCAGACACAAGACACTCAGACACTCGACACTCAGACACTAGACACTAGACACTCGTCACTAGACACTCGACACTCGACACTCGACACTCGACACTCGACACTCGACACTCAGACACTAAACACTAGACACTAGACACTAGACACTCAGACACTCGAGACTCAGACACTAGACACTTGACACTCGACACTCAGATACTAAACACTAGACACTAGACACTCAGACATCCAGACACTAGACACTCAGACACTGGACACTCGGATACAAGACACTCAGACACTAGACTCTCAGACACTTGACACTCAGACACCCAGACACTAGACACTCTGACACTCGACACTCGAGACTCAGACACTAAACACCAGACACTAGACACTCAGACACTCGACACTCGACGTCACTCGACACTCGACACTCGACACTCGACACTCGACACCCGACACTCGACACTCGACACTCAAGTACTAAACACTAGACACTAGACACTCCGACACTCGGATATAAGACACTCAGACACTTGACGCTCAGACACCCAGACATTAGACACTCAGACACTAGACACTCAGACACTAGACACTCGAAACTCGACACTCGACACTTGACACTCGACACTCGACACTAGACACTCAGACGCTAGACCCTCAGACACTAGACACTCAGACACTCAGACCCTAGACACACAGACACTAGACACTCGGATACAAGACACTCAGACACTAGACACTCGGACACTAGACACTCAGACACTAGACACTCGACACTCGACACTCGACACTCGACACTCAGACACTAAACACCAGACACAAGACACTCAGACACTCGACACTCGACATCACTCTACACTAGACACTCGACACTCAACACTCGACACTTGACACTCGACACTCGACACTCGACACTCGACACATAGACACTAGACACTCAGACACCCAGACACTAGACACTCAGACACTAGACCCTCGGATACAAGACACTCAGACACTAGACTCTCAGACACTTGACACTCAGACACCCAGACATTAGACACTCTGACACTAGACACTCGACACTCGATACTCGACACTCGACACTCGACACTCGACACTCGACACTCGACACTCGACACTCGACACTCGACACTCAGACACTCAGACACTAGACACTCAGACACTCGACACTAGACACTCAGACACTCAGACACTAGACACTCAGACACTAGACACTCAGACACTAGACACTCAGACACTAGACACTAGACATTAGCCACTCGACACTCGACACTCGACAGTCGACACTCGACACTCAGACACTAAACACTAGACACTAGACACTAGACACTCAGACACTCGACACTCAGACACTAGACACTCGACACTCGACACTCGACACTCGACACTCAGATACTAAACACTAGACACTAGACACTCAGACACTGGACACTCGGATACAAGACACTCAGACACTAGACTCTCAGACACTTGACACTCAGACAACTTTTTGGCCTCAGTTCCGTCGAACCCAAATGTACGAAACAGATATATCATCAGTTTTAATTGACTTTGGCACAGACGGCATGCACGTTATTTACCCTAAAGCCATACAGTTTCCAACAAAATTCAATTATGGTACGGCTGAAAAAAGGATGTTGCCCTTAGTTTTGTCATGAGCATTTACCGTCCATAAAATGCAGGGCAGCACCGTCGACCATGCAGTAGTATATTTGGGCTCAAAATGGTTTGAGGAAGGACAAGCATACGTGGCTCTAAGTCGAGTCAAGTCTCTGGAAGGGCTATGTATTGAGGAATTAGATTGTATTAAATTATCAGGTAAGAAACCATGTAATAATGATGCACTGAATGAATTAAATAAAATGAGGAATATTCGGTAAACAATTTCACTAAATACTAAAAACAAGAAAATAAAAATCGGTAAAAAAACTTTTAAGTTAAACGGTTTTATTTTATGTGCACTGAAAACTACAAAATAAATAAATAGTTACTTACCTATCAACCTACGTAGGTGATCTCGGTCATTAATATCTCTGATGGTAGTGGTTGTTATAACATGAACCATGTCAGCGGCCGAAAGGCAGTTCATGAGAGAACACTAACACCAGGGTTTGCTTGGTAGGTAAACTAAGCAGCCCGCACTATAACAAGTAGGTATTTTGACCTTCTAGTTCAGAAATATTTTAGTACTAGGCAGAATAGCTTTTAGGCATATTAGACTAAAATAAAAACGTGGGGCCCCTCTGAAATCATACCTATAGCAGAGCATATCTTATACTTTGGTAGATCATGAGCTCGGCGTTCGCTAGTGAAGCCGTAACGGCTGGTTATTGATGGTCAAAACCTCCAGTTACGATTATAGTAAGTCGATTCAGCGGACCCTGGACTCTGGAGCTATGAGGTTTCGGATGCGACCGGGATAAACCGCTAGGATGATGATGATGACGATTATAATAAGTCGATGCAATCCACACTTAGTATAGTAGAAAGTAATACAGAAATAGTTAATGGGCCCCACGTTTTTATTTTAGTCTAATATGCCTAAAAGCTATTCTGCCTAGTACTAAAATATTTCTGAACTAGAAGGTCAAAATACCTACTTGTTATAGTGCGGGCTGCTTAGTTTACCTACCAAGCAAACCCTGGTGTTAGTGTTCTCTCATGAACTGCCTTTCGGCCGCTGACATGGTTCATGTTATAACAACCACTACCATCAGAGATATTAATGACCGAGATCACCTACGTAGGTTGATAGGTAAGTAACTATTTATTTATTTTGTAGTTTTCAGTGCACATAATATAAAACCGTTTAACTTAAAAGTTTTTTTACCGATTTTTATTTCTCAGTATTTTAATGTTTGACTTGTATTGCTTGATTTCTTTTATAGGCAGCGTTTATTCATACATTATTCGAGTGGATATACTTAATTTAACACGACATATGGCTGTGGGCATCATTGTCGGTTTATATATATTTAAATCTTTATATTGCATTATAAACACTGACGAATTTGATATAATATTAAACACTATATCTTATGATTTGCTTGAAGCCAATGAATTGGATGACGGCGCTAAAAAACTATGCGAGATTTTTGTAAAAAAGGCAAAATTTGGAGAATTCATTTGGATATTATCACCAATGGCGCTCGGCTCTGTATTTCCTTTGTACGCCGGTGGATCGATGATCTATGAGAATATTTGGAAGGCTTATCCACATCGAGAAATGGTGCACGAGATGGAGATGGCATTTGTAAAAGATACGCAATACGATTCGCCAACATTTGAAATTATATTTTTCTTGAGTCTATACTGTATTATATTCATGTATCCAAGTTTCTGTGGCATGGACGGTTCTTTTTGCATTGTTACAGTACATTTATGTTTTAAACTAAAGTTTGTCGGTTATTTAGTTCGGAGAGCATTTGAAGACGCCAACGATCGTTTGGAATTGCATACCAAATTAAATCGTGCTATAACATATCATCAAAAGGCATTAGCATTTTACAATAACGTACAAGATTTTTATGGCCCATGGTTGTTTGCAATTTTTATTGTGTCGTGTATTGGCATTTCCTTTAATGTGTACCAAATTTATGTTCTTCGACAATTCCATCTAAGATACATACTATTTGTGATAACATCTGTTCTTCACATATATATACCTTGCGTATACGCAAGCAATGTGACACAGGTGAGAGTAATTCTAAATTCAATAATGTTACAAAAAGTAGCATCAGTTTACATGCAATAAGTTTATTAAGAAATCTATTATGGGACCAAAAGTCTCAACATCCTTGCCTTTGTTTTTAAGAAGTTGCTGTTATCTCTGACGTCTTATTTACCAGAGGCATTGTTTTCTTTCTCGAATAATAGCATAAAAGCATTTTGTAATAATATGAACTGGTACGTGCTGATGTCTTCAACAGGTCGTTAAAGGGTCAATTTCATATAAACAAGCTTGAATTAATTGATTTTATTTGCAAATAGTTACAGAAACACAAATTTAGATAAGAGCCGTTGCGTTGATCCACTTGAAAATTTTGAAAAAAGTCCGTTGACACATACAGCAAGTTTTTGTTCCCTTTTCGTAACGAGACGGACCAATCCTGGGGCATGTCCGGTGTTGCTATCATTTGCTTCTTACTGTACGCGACAGAACATTTCGAGATACTGATCCATGTTTTTTTTTTTGTTATTAAAATCAAAATTTTTTTCAGTGCAACGAAGTCTTAGCTATTGAACTTTACGACGCTCCGTGGGAGAGAAGGCAAGACATTTCAGCAACCAAGTCATTGGTGGTTATGATCGCTAATGCTCAACGTCCTCTAATTTTTTCTGGATGTGGCCTTGTGGATTATAATATGCAATTATTTGTGACAGCAATGAAAACAACTTATTCATTTTACACGTTAATGACAAGTACTTAATTGGTGACAAACCATAAGATTTTAGTGTAGGATATTCACCTATGTATAATATATAGTTATTTGTTGCAATAACAAACAGAGCTTATTCATTTTTAACGTTTATCACAAGTACTTAATTAGTATAAGTGCTTGAAATTGATAGAAATTGACTTCTGACTAACTTTCTTCTAAAGGTATTTGTCATTTATTTATTAATTAGAATAAAATATTAAATAATAGCAGTGTAATGAACACACACAATGTATTTTACCTACAATATATTTCTTATTTCTTTTTTACTATTATTTTTTCTATGAAATTTCGCGGCTCCCTTTTGGCCACAACAGAATATCAGTGTTTTGCTCTTTTGAGGGCAAAGCAATAAACTGAGTTGTGACCATTTTGTGTTATTGTGGCACACGCATGAAGGGAAAAAGTTGTTACTTATTTTGTGCATTTTATTTTTATGTTTTTTATTTTTTGTATATGTATTTCTTTTAATCTTTTTTCACTGTGCATTTATGTCTATTGTTGTATGCTGTAAGTAATGCAAATAAATTATCTATCTATCTATCTATCTAGTAATAATAATAAAGGTATTAAATAATACATATTGGCTTGTAACAATCACTAGTTAATATTCTTTTAATAGATTTAACATGTAAGTAAATAGTTTTGAATTGATTTGTAATAGTTATAAATATAAGTTAACGAACTCATGTTATTTTATTTTTTAAACTTATCTTAATTTTTATATAATATGTCTATATACAGACACAACGGGAATTTAACGAACTAATTGTTTGTCGTTTTGGACGATTGTTTCGTCGTCATCCAGAAGTCTTTTCGTCTGTTTCCTGCCACCGCTATCTCCGCCCCTACCCCCAACCGCACTGACGTCTTCACGTGTCCTGCGAGCTGCAGCCCGCAGTGCTAGACGAAGAAGCTTTTTGGATGAAATCATAACGATTCGAATCAATTTTAAATTTATAGTTATTGAAAAATTTATATGGGCATCGTGTTAATGTTAAATCGTACATCTGTAACATTGCTATTTTTCCATGGTATTTTGTATTCGCTCTGTTTTGAAGTTAGCTGTTATTTCCTATCGATGATAGGATTTTTTTACAGAAGACTAAGGGAGAAGTTTTTAGTCCTCAGCAATGGCAATGTATGATGGCGACCATGAGACACAGTATAGATACTCTGTCATATCAATAGTAATGTTGATGTCTATAGGCGATGGTTACCACTTTCCATCAGGTGGGCCGTCAGCTTGTTTGCCATTCTAAGTTGCATAAAAAAAAATCTCTTACTCTCCGGGCTGAATGTGTCCCGCATTACACTACGTACGAAATAGATAGATAGATACTCTTTATTGTTTCCTCCATAAGATTACAATAGTAAACTTATTATAAATACAAACAATTACAAGAAAATATTATATTAAGAAAACAATATCGATCGTTTACAGGCAACCTTTGGAATACACCAGACATAAAGACGTTTAAATAGTGGTTAAAAATTTAATAAATACATTTGTATGGATTTTATTTTATTTTATTTGGAAAACAAACATAAAAAGTATACAATAAATCAAAGAAGCTTTCACAGTATCTCGAAAAGAGGAAGACTTTGTACTAAAGTCGTTTGCTTGGGCACCTCTGCCATATTCATGTTTCTGCCATGAAGTAATTGTTTTTGTATAACTATGTTTGGATTCTTTTAAAGTTTTGAAGCTGGTTTGAAAGACGATATGGGATTGAAATTATAGGGTACAGAGGACTAAGAGAGAGGTCCTTAGTCTTTAGGAACGGCAACGTATTATGGCGATCATGAGCGACACAGTATTGGCACTCTGTCATGTCCATGATACTGCTTATGTCTATAGGCGACAGTTGCCACTTTCCATCAGACGGGTCGTTTGCTTTTTTGGTCGTTCTAAGTTACAAACAAATATGTTATCACAAATAATAATAAGCGGCTTAGAAATATCTAGAATCGGGACAGTAGATTTATAACAATATATTAGTTATAGTAGATTTATAATAAGTTTTTAAATGTTTAAGTACACTTACTAACAAAAATGGATCCCAGTTATCTAAAAATAAATAAATAAATAAAATAAAAATAAAATAACATTGATTTAGCTTTTGCTGTTATAATGTTACAATTATTTGTAATGAATGAATAAATAAATAAAGTTTTGTTAGTAGGATCAACCACCCACTAGATGGAGTGACAACCTAATTTTTTTTTAATGTAACTTAAAATGGCAAACAGACTGATGGCCATCAGCCTGTTTGCCTGCATCTGCTCACTTGTGCCCCTCCAGCGTATACTGCTAGCGCAGACGGGGTTTACAATCCATTATCATCCATTGATAAAAGTACTGAGTTAAGTTTATTAAGTTAAATATATTTACTAAGCTTTTAACCGAACCTTCGTCCACTTGACCTAGATATGTTTATTGACTAGGGTAAAAAGTAAATTATATTCTTCTCGTCCACATGTAGTATGTGTGTACTGTTTACTGTCCTCTTCTGAACATAGCCTCCCCTATAAGGAGGGGGTTGCCAGTAGTTGCCACGCTTGGCAAGTGGGTTAGCAACTGCAGTTAGGCTTTTAGAGATGTTTTAAGAGTGACGCTGCTGCCTATCCCTCGCCCTCCCTTAGTCGACTCTTACGATACCCACAGGAATGGAAGGGATGGCCTATTCTATGCCGGGACCACACGGCTAATTTTATAGTCAAGGCAATATAAAGCAACTGTCAAACAACTCCACTGCCAGGTTTACAATATTCGTTAGAATTAAAACGTTTTAGTAAATTGAAACCACTAAACAAATGTAAAATCTCAACAAATATCTACTAATGCTATCCATTTGAATAGTGGCCTATTTTTAAATATTGTTAGAAAATAATTAAAAATTAATAGATAGATAGATACTCTTTATTGTTTCCTCCATAACATTACAATAGTAAACTTATTGGGGGGAAGAGATTGTTAGTAATGGGGAGATTAGTCCCCATTGCTATAAATATACTCTATCAGGTCGACCTCCACGTGGTTCCCCCTGGCAACTATCGTGACTAATTTATCGTTGAATTCTTCACGATGGGCTAACAGACTTGCCTTTTTATCCTCACCTATCACCTGTCACTGGTACCCGGCTAGTGTATACGATAGCGCAAGTGGAGTCATCATGCCATTTTCACCCATTAAAAAAAAAGGTAAACTTATTATAAATACAAACAAAAGAACGTATTACAACTAGCTATACTGTCAATATGGTATAGAAATTATCGTTAGTCGAAGTTCTTTAATTTAGTCACTAACACGAGTGTGTTAGTGACTAAATTAAAGTTATTAAATAAATTATCAAGATCAGAGATCGTGATAATTTTATGTTACTTTTAGCAATCTCACAAACTTGAGATTTAGAATTATAATTAGCACTTAGCCTTTGAAAGAAGAAAGAAATGAAAAATTCCGAAATTACATTATTGATTTTTTATTAAATGAACATTAATTATTATTCAAAAATACAATTGTTCATTCAAATAGCGCAATCGTAGCTGACAAATAAGATATATTATCCAAAAAAATAGGAGATTGGTTTACAAAAAAAAATTATTTCTTAAAAACATAAAGTCCTTTTTTTCTTTTATGTAACTTAGCTATTCTAAGACTGACAGCTCACCTTTTGGAAAATAGTAAACGTCGCCTAGAGACATGAACAGTACCATGGATACACTGTTCCATATCTCACCCTTCAAACCGCAACACAGCCATGAAAACACAACTGTTTCACGGTAGATACACGAATGGGACAGAGATACCTAAGCTAAAATAACTTTTAAACAAAGTCTCCATTTGGTGACAAAAAAATGATAAGTCTCACAACGCAGTTCTTTCACTAAAAAAAGTTGTGAGATTTATGTAAAACCAAGTCAGTTATAGTCAGCGTCTATTGAAGTAGGTACTTATTCAAAAACATTGTTATAAATTGTTATGTAGACAATTACCTATTAATATTGGGGGAAAGGGATTTTTAGTAATAAAGACTGAGAATCCCATTGCTAGCAATATACCCAACCAGGTCGACCTCCTCGCGGTTCACCCTGGAAACTATCATGGTTAATTCCTGATGAATTCATCATGATGGGCTAACTGGCCTGTTTTCATTCTCATCTATCACCCTTCGCTGGTGCTCTGCCAGCGTATCCCGTTAGCGCAGGCGGGGTTACCATACCATTTTCACCCATCAAAAAAAAAACTACCTATTAATATTTATAGTGACCGTATCAATATTTACATTTTTATTTTTATTATAATTATAGTGACTTGACAATTGCACGGCAACATATTAATAAAATATTTTATTCTTTTACTAATAAAACACTTTGTACTTTAATGCAATTCACTTTGTAATGGAAATAGTATATTTTGTATTAGATTATTCTTTTATAACATGGTATCATATAATAGCTAATACATTAATTATTATAGGAAATAAAGATGTCTAAAAATGGTATGGTCACTGTAAATCACCATTATTTCAGCCATTATCCGTCCACTGCTGGACATAAGCCTCCCCCATAGACTTTTTTTATACAACTTAGAATGGCAAACAAGCTGACGACGAAGATGTAAACTCTCTTGTATATCTCCATTCATCATTTCAAGTGTGTTATGAGCATTTTATCTTAAGTATTACAATGATATTATCATCCTTTCTGTGATTTTATCCGAGAAATCTTTCAAGTAGTAATACTTGAACAGTACAGACTCTAAAAACTACCTATATTTTTTCTTACAACTTAGAATGGCAAACAAGCTGAGGGCCCACCTGATGGAAAGTGGAAACCGTCGCCTATGGACATGAGCAGTACCAAGGACATAACAGAGTATACTGTTTCGCCCATGATACCCCGCCATGCGTTGCCATTCCTGAGGACTCGGGTGTTATTCCTCTGTACCCTGTAAATTCACGCCATATCCCACCCTTCAAACTGACACACAGCCATGCAAACACAACTCCTTTACGGTTGAAACACGAATGGGACTGACAGACTGCCATAAAGAACGGTCCTGAGCCACCTGCATCCACTGACTCCCTGCAACGAATTTCAGGTCGTTACTCCATCTAGTAGGGGGGTTGTCCTGCACTGCGTTTGCCTGTACGCGGTCGCCTTTCAAGAACCTTTCTTCCCCATCGGTTGTTCTTCGAGCTATTTGACCAACCCATCACTGTCAATATTGATAGATAATTTAAAACAATATATAACAAAGTTGTTGAATAGGTACTTCCATAGACACTAACTAAAGTAACTGAATTGATTACATGAGATCTCATAATTTGTTTTAGTTGAGAATTACGTTGCTCGTTTGGCATTTTTTTTTTTTCATTTTAGAATAGAATAGACACATTTATTGCCATACAATTACAATATAAAATATAAATAACATATACAAAAAGTGTCCCATACTCGGCAAAAGGAACCGGCTCAGCTGATGCTGTGAGTGTCCCGGCGCAATGTGAACAGCTGCACAGCGCTGGTTTTCAGCCAGTCCCTCTCTTAACAAACATTTTAGGTTTTTAACGGGATTAATTGTTTACTGGTTTCCTTATATTTGCAACTGGTGTAAAAATGTGTTCGAAAACAATGAAAGATCTCCTCGACTAATTATTTACTAGTGATCAAAGTGTAAAATGAATATGACGTTTTCATAATCGAAACAAACAATTCCATGTTATAGACGACTACGCCATAACCCCCGAGCTGGAGGGAATGCTGGGCCTTGGCGATCATGAAAATCAGATATTTGGTTGCGATAACATCACTTCGATTTTCCCACGGTGCATTGTAAAGATCCATAGTCATTTCTTCAGCACACTGAAAGGAAACTTGTATCTGTATTATATCAGTGAAAGTGATACCGAAGAGTTTTTCCAAATATTTGAGAGTCAAAAAACGGAAAAAATATCTCTTACTGCATTGCTTCTGTAATTTTACGGCTCAAAATTTTTGGGATCAAAGAATTACCTATAATAACTGTAAAATGATTACAGTTATTAGCTTAACATGTGAAAAACGATTCATCGTTTCCATAAACCTGATTAAAAATATGTTAAAGTGATCAAGTATTGAATTAACATATTGCTATAAAGTATTCATTTCAGCCATTAAATATCTACTACCAATAGTTGCAGGCAGGTCGACAATCGCAGTTAAGCTTTTAGAGATGTTTTAAGAGGGACGCTCATCTTTCTAACATTAAGTTCCCATAGTCGCCTCTTACAACACCCAAAGGAAAGAAAAGTGGCTCATTCTATGCCAAGACCACATGGCTATTATTTTTGCTCGTAATAGATAAATTTAAGAAATAATTAAGTATTAGAAATAGCAAACTATAAAACATTACCTGAGTCAAATTGCTGGAGAATATACAAGTAATATACGTGTGCATTACTATAGTTATACAAAAAGTAACATATTTCGGATCAAACGATGTAAGTGTAGAGATCTGATACAAGTTAAAGGAAAGGCAAGTTGATGTCATAATGAAAATTGCAAACAACCAGGGCTCGAAGAAGTTCTGCAAGTCTTCATAAAATTGTAAGGCTTCTTGGTGACGTTTTATGGCGTCTCTGATTTTATTATGCAATTCAAAACTAGTAGTTGTATCGTTAAAGGCTTTCTGGATCGTGCAACTAACATATTTTAGTTTAACACACATGTGCGTTGTAGAAATACAGAAGAAACCTTCCAGCCCGATGAAATTAGGTATTAAACACATTACAGTGTATAAGCTCATGACAAATATGAATTCAAAATATGGTGTATCGTCCTGCACGTTACTTAGATGTGGTACCTCCACCTCGTGTACCATGTACCGCTGTGGATAATCCGCAGTTATATTGTCATATATTAAACAAATAGCGGCAAACAGTGGATATTGCATTGCAAGAAAACCTGGCAATATTGTCCAAACTATTTCTCCGATTTTTGCTTTTTTTATATATTTCTCCATTACATTTTTAAAGTCTTCCTCCTTATCGTTGGCTTCGATCATATCGTTGGATATGGTATTCAATAAATTACCTAGTTTCTCACCATAACATATGCAGTAGACAGTTTTAAATAGAAACAAAATTACAATAATGGCCACAGTTATATGTCTTGTAATGTTGGCCATATCTAGTCGAATGAGACTCTCAAATATGTTAACTATGAACCAATATAGTTGAATTAGATTTGAAATTATAAGAAGACCAAAACATAGAAGTCGTTTCTTTATGTTGTTTTTGTTTGGATAAATTAATGCAATTGCCATTGCTAACGTGCAAAATTTAAATGTTTGGTCAAATGATTTAAACATTTTTTAGTTTTAATAGTAACAGTATTATTTTATCAAGCTACAAATATAGTCTACTCAGCTCACTCTGAAGCACTACAAGCCATAACTTGGAGTGTTTCCTAGACGTAAGTATTTTAAATACCTTGTAATTAAGGTTGATACGATTTATTTATAATTGCATATTAATTGCTCCAACTATTATTTCATTACGCTCTTTCAACTATAATGACGTAGAAATGGCATATGAACAAGAAGTGGTAGGTAGAAGTGACACCAATGCTGTTTCCATAACAATACTTCGTGGTCCTACTCTCGCATTTTTTAAAGTCGAATATTTTTTTTTTATAAATAATAAAATACTATTTGTATAAATATAAATGTAGATAAACACTCTTCGTATATTCTGTACAAATATATATATATACATATATTGTCTATATATATATATATATATATATATATACATATAGACTATAAATAATCAAGAAGACATAAAGAATGAAAAGACAGATAAATTATTTCATACTAAACTATTGCTATGCTATTAAATATAAAAAAATATTTAATAGCAAATTGTTATTATTCAGTTGACGATTTTTTAGCTAGTTGAAATGCAAAAATGCGCCATGCCACGGTTCCAATCACACGTGACTACAGCCTCAATGGTTGCGTACTGCGCGGTTTCAGAGATGTTTCCTCCGGCAAACACACTCAGGTTGTGGAATGAGCTCCCTGCCGAGGTTTTCCCAAGAGACTACAGCATGGGGTTCTTCAAAAGGGGGGTAAAGAGGTTTCTACAGGGTCTGATATTGCAAGTGTTCATAGGCTACGGTAACCACTTACCATCAGGTGGGCCGTACCGTTTGTCACCTCAGTGGTATAAATAAAAAATAAAAAAAAATTAATTTATTATTTTTGACATTTTAAATTGTTGTTTATTTTGTTTAATCTAAATTGACATTAATGCATGTATATTAGCTAGCTATCAATGTAATTTTGCTACACCCATACAGGGTTTCATGTACTCACTCATCATAAGAACATTGTAACAACTATATATTATGTACATGTATGTATTATAATAATAAATAAATATATTATTTCATTGATTATTAATTTATTTTACAAGTACATAAAACACTCTATCAAATCGCTTGAAACATTAGTATTTACCAGAGGGAGACTTTGTACAAAAGTCGATTGCTTGGGTACCTCTGTCCCATTCGTGTTTCAACCGTGAAGAGGTTGTGTTTGCATGGCTGTGTTTCGGTTTGAAGGGTGGGATATGGCGTGAATTTACTTGGTACAGAGGAATAACACCTGAGTCCTCAGGAATGGCAACGCATGGGGGGTATCATGGGCTAAACAGTATACTCTGTTATGTCCATGGTACTGCTCATGTTTATAGGCGAAGGTTACCACTTTCCATCAGGTGGGCCGTCAGCTTGTTTGCCATTCTAAGTTGTATAAAAAAAAATTAAGAAAAATTACTTTGAAATAGTAACAACAGGAGGGAAAAGTACTGTTAGTAATGGAATCAAATAGCCCCATTACTAGCAATATACCCTGTCAGGTCGACCTTCACGTGGTTCCCCCTAAAAACCATCGTGGTCAAGTTGGATTCGTCAGAATGGGCTGACTGACCTGATTCGTGGGGGGAGAAGGAATTGTTAATAATAGGGGTTAGTAGCCCCATTGCTAGTAAATACCCTGTCAGGTCGACCTCCTCGTAGTTCCCCCTGGAAACCATCGTGATTGATGTATTGTTCGATTCATCACGGTGAACTAACTGGCCTGCTTCATACTCACTTGTCATCCCTCACTAGTGCCCCGCCAGCATATACCGATAGCGCAGGCGGGGTTGCCATATCATTATCACCATAAAAAAACAACAAATGTTGTGACACAAGTGGAATGTTACCATAAACTATATTTAACTGTACTAGATTGTATGTATAATCTCTAAATCATGCCCTTTTTAAAAATGGTTATCATTTTCAACTAATTTGAAGACACATTTTATAATACTTGGGGAGGGGGAGGGGATTGTTATGCGGACTACTAGTCCCATTGCTAACAATATACCCTATCAGGTCGACCTCCCCGTGCCTCCCCCCCCCCCCGGAAACCGTCGTGCTGAACTCCATATATATATCACAATGTGCTAACTGTCCTGTCCATTCATTCATTCTCACCTATCATTCCTCACTGGTGCCCCGCCGGTGTATACCGATAGCGCAGGCGGGGTTCCCATTCCATTATCATCCATTAAAAAAAATTTTTTAACTTTGACCTACAGACCGACCACAGCGGCTGTTAACATTTTTTACATATCGATATGGATTATCGATTTAATTAACAATTGATAATTTAAAATAAATAAATTTTCGCCGCATGCAATATTTCCGTGACGAAAAGGAGAATAGTGTCACTTATTTATTTATTTATTCATTAGTACATTAATGTGTACATGGCGGACTTAATGCTAAAAGCGTTCTCTCCCAGTCAACTATAGGGAAGTGTCAGAATCCTCGAAGGCGGTACTAGTAATTATTGATATACATACATACTAAAATTACATATATAAACGAATAAATATATATGAATAACAAATGTACTATTACATATAATAAATATACTATATTTTTTTTAATCGATGATAATAAAATGGTAACTCCGCCTGCGCTAACGGTATACACTGGCGGGGCACCAGTGAGGGATGATAGGTGTGAATGAAAAGGCAGGTCAGTTAGCCCATCGTGACGAATGCAAAGATAAATCAGTCACGATAGTTTCCAGGGGGAACCGCGTGGAGGTCGACCCGATAGCATATATTGACAGCAATAGGGATTGCTCCTCCCCATTACTAACAATCCCTTTCCCCCCAAAATACACACGAGAATGAGAATAATATATAGTACTCATTGCTCGAATAAACTACAAAAGCGAGCAATAAAATTTTTTTCCAAAGATGGTTTAGTCGGAAATCTCTTAATGGTATCAGGAAACGCGTATCTTCGGACACACTGTGCAGACTGTGCGGGGAGAAATCGGAATCCATGGAACACTTGTTGTGCAACTGCGATTCGTTGGCAAGTATGCGTATGAGTCTACTGGGAACGGCTTATCCAGAACCAGGGGACTACAGATATCTTAAACCGCGGGATATAGTTAAGGTAACCCAAAGGATCTATGAAATGATGGTATAAGGCAGGGGGAACCACAAAAGTTCCCAATGGGTCGACGTGCAACAGCTTAGCTGACCCCATATGCGAATATAAGATAAGATCAGGAAACGCGTTCCAGAGTCACTTCTACCTAGATAATTACATTCACGACAAGCGTAAGGAGCAAGGTGCTTTATAATTGTTAATTCTCGTAATTAGGTTGTAATAAGCACGTGAGTTACTTTTTATTAACCCTGAATGTGCACGATGCACTTTTTTTTTATTATTAATGTTTTTTTTTTCTGGCACATGGCACAGAGGTGGTTAATAGTAAAGGCACGAGTAGACGATCAAAATCGGAGAGTCAGTGTTAAAAAAGAGTGTTTACGAGTATATCAGAATTAGATAGCATCATCGTTTGTCTAAAGTAGGTGTTTAAAATACTTCTTAATTCTATTCTCTTTTTAGACGTTTTGAGAAAAGATCTAAAATTATATAAAAAAAAACATGTTAGAGAGGAATTTCGAGCAAACTCCGTTTGATTGGAGAGGAGAAAATTAATTTAAAATTTTTAATTGTTATTGTTATATTTTTTATTGTCCTGTATATATATATATATATATATATATATATATATATATATATATATATATATATATATATATATATATATATATATATATATATATATATATATATATATATATATATATATATATATATATATATATATATATATAATCATCTGCTCTCGTTTATTTGATTAGTTTATTGTGGAAACTTCACTGATTTACGCTATGGCTGTGTTTATAGCACCCGAAAAAGTAACTAAAGTATGACATGTACAATTTTAATGCTTTATAACTATAATATCGACTATTTTTAAATGTTGACATAATTAACTAATTCAATGTAACAATTAATATGTATTTAGAATAATTATTTGGACATACGTAATGGATAAATTTTTACTTAACATGTGCTAAGACAAAATTTGCATGCCTTTAGATAAGGCGAAATGTGTAGCTCAGTTACCATTTAAGACCTTTGTATCACATTTCGAGCAAATAAATTATTCTTATTGTTATTCTTATTCTAGTGTTTTTTTTTTTTTTATTTTTTACATATATTATACATTAAACCGCTTGTCAGTTTTAAAAAATAGATATACAATAGTTTACATTTTAGTGTATACAAACCGGTCCAATTCATAGTTAAATTACGATTAAACCTACTTTTTAACCCTTATTTTTAAAAATGGAAAAAGGTGTAATTTGGTTAGCCTGTCGTCACCATGTTTTGGAAATAATACTAGAAGCAATCGTAGTTCAAGCACTAGGTCCATCAAGCGGGCCAGAAATATTGATTTTTAAGCGTTTTAGGACTGCTTGGCCTAAAATTGATCAGAATAAGATCTGCACAGTTTCAGCAGACCCTGATGCATGGAAAATGTAGGAAGACGTATGATTTTATTAAACGGTTTTATTTAGCTCGACCTGTACGGTATTTATTTATTTGGGTCAAAATTAGAAATTGGAATTTAAGCACCTTCCCGTTGTCAGATTGATCTGAAATTTGGTACACACATTTAATTTAGATGACAATACAATATAATAAAATCAGTAACATTATAAATCTAAGATGGCTGCCGATACAAAATGGCGGATTACATATTTTTCCTTAACCCCCGCAATATGGGTATCAAATGAAAGGGCTACACTAATAAAACACGATGATTATGTCAAAATTTAAAATTCAAGATGGACGCCGTTCCAATATGGCGGACTAGGTACATATTTTTCCACAACCACCACAATATGGGTACCAAATAATAGGACTACACTGAGACACCCAGACACTAGACACTCGGACACTAGACACTCAGACGCTAGACCCTCAGACACTAGACACTCAGACACTCAGACCCTAGACACACAGACACTAGAC